GTCCAGAGGACCAGTTTTAACTTTTTAGATTACATTATCATTATTAATGTTTAATGTTTAGTGTATATCTTAGATCTTTGTATACGGTTTCTTTTTATACTTTATATTTTTGCTATTTATGGGTGTAACTGGGACCTTGAGTACATAATTTCTTTCCACCTCATGTACCACATGTGATGTCAATGACAATAAAGAACCTTGAACCTTACCTGAGGGCCAGCACAGCTGATCTTGCACACATCACAGTAGTGTATCTGAGAGGGCTTAGGAGGTTGTTTGGGTCGAAGCAGTTTACTCTGGAAGGTGGGCTTCTTAGTGAAAGTGTTTCCTGACCAGGCTGCTGTTGCTGCCACAGCTGCCACTGCTTGTTTCTGTTGTTGTTGTTGTTGCTGTTGTTGCTGCTGCTGCTGCTGCTGGTAGTAGTTAGAAGCTGCAGAGTATACAGCTGCTTCATAACCAGAGTATGAGGTTCCTGCAAAACAAAAACCATCACTTAAGGAACACAACAATTACTCATCAGTTGTCCAGAAAGTTCTCATTTTCAGCCTGGCTCTGAATGTAAAAACCAGATCCATTTCTGTTATTGTAGCATAGCATTAACTTCTGTTAGCATGTGACTCGTTTGGTGTACGAGTTTTTGCTGATAGTAATCGTCAAAAATAGCTTTTTGTAATCTCCGAAGTGTTCAAGAAATTTCAAGAAAATGCAAAAACATAAGGCTAGGGCTGTGCAATTAATCAAATTTGTCATTTCAATTTTGTCTCCAGATGAGCACAATACGCAACTGTGTAAATCACAAAAAAACAATTACAAAGAAAAATATTTAGCCACTCATCGCCTTACCAGTATACTGTTATTTTTTCTTGCCTACACAATGAGGTGTACTTCCTATTACTGCACATGTTACAAATGTGTTTGTTGCAGGCATCCTGGAACTTCAACATTTAAGCACAAAGTTTATAGCAAGACAAAATCTAAACGTGGTCCATCAAGATAATTTAATAATGAGAAATCAGTTTTGGCAACCAGGTATCAGTGTGTGCAACAAGCATCATTCACACCGTCAGAGTGAACATTTTCTACTGCTGGAGACCTCATCAGCCAGGAGAAGGCTTGTTTGTGTCCAGAGAAAGCAGACATGTTGATTTTTCTGAAGAAAAACTGTTAAGTGAAAAGGTCCTCAGTGTATAGCAGAGCATTAGACACTGAAGCCCCCAGTATACTGCCACGTACATCCATACGGAGAGGTACGCACGTACGTACGCAGAAGTACGAGTGTAGTGAACTATCTTCAAAAACCTGATCCTGGGACAGGAACTGTTATTTCATTGATTTGAGTCCAGAAACACAGATTAAGTTCCATCCAGAGACTTTCTAAGTGTGTCCTGCACGGATCAATTGAAAGAACACTCTCTTTCATATTATCATTACTATTTTACAAATGTCTTGATAATCAAAAGTGTGATATTGAAGTGAACCACTCATTTTAAATCAACTGTGAAACAGTATAAATGATTTTTAATCCTCATTCAAAGTAGAAATCAAGTTAATGTCTGTTACAAGAGTAATTATGCATTTTTTTTTATCTTCTGTCTGAAATGAGCAAGTAGTGAGTCGGTCAAAAGTGAAGGAACGGTCAAAAACATGTTTATCGAAACGAAATGTCATGTTTAACTTTTTCAGATAGATAGAAGGAGACTGGCTCCTAAATGTCTCGGTTCTTCAAAACATTTCTCTGTCTGTTCCAAAAACATTTATCCGTCTGTTCCAAAAACATTCCGCTGTTTTTCTGACTTGTAATGACCTCTAACGTCACTAAAACCACACCCCTGTTGGTTCTTTCAACCAATCAGGAAGTTCTCAGAGGAACCGGAAGTGACCTCTTTAAAAGGGTCAACACTTCCTAGTTCCATGCAGAACAAAGTTCCGAGCTGAACAACGTTCCAGAGAGAACCAGAGTTCCAGGGAGAACCTCGAACGAGAAGCTCCGAGGAACAGGAGTTCAGGGCAGTTTCTAATGGAGTGACGAGAGTCCGTCGATGCCACGACGTCTCGCTGTGGCTCTACCCGACGAAAGCTCTGAACAATGAGGAAGTCTGTTCAGTGATGATCTCACGACTCCTGAGGTCACAGCTGTCCTTACGGAGACGCTGAAAAGCGTTGAAAGGCAACTCTACCCCGAGGCCGAACTATCGTCTGCAAAGGTAAAGAGTCGATCTTCAACTGCGAAGTGTACCGTGGGTTAAGCTGCGTCCAAAGGAGCGTGTTGTTCTGGTTATAACAGACTTTTCCCTCATCCATTTCCTCTCCATTTAAACTCCTTCATTTTCCCATCTTTAAAACTCTTCTATCTGCCAGTAATTAATCCAGATATTTTCAGAAATGTCTGTTGTATTTTAGTTTTTTAGTCTGTTGTGTTTTAATTAATGAGCAAAGCTCATTAATTAAGCTGTGTTAATTGTAATCAATCTGTCAATTAATGTAAATGTGTGATGTTGTTTTAAATCATTTTTAATTAAACGGCTCACTGTTGTTGGTGAGTCAGAAATTAAAACACGTTTCCGTCCACATTTAATCATTTAAGGCACGAGAGCACTCAGTCCAGAAAAATGAAAGAATCCGTTTAAATTATGGATAATACCACACAGGTATCGTTCATTACACGAGCGTACCCCCCCAGGGCATGTCCGTGCAAAACTCAAATTTTTACGACCGCATACGCGTATGCGGTGTCGCACAATAAACTGCCCAGCGACGAACTGTTTTGTACTGTATGTGACACCAATGTATTAAATTCCCCTTCTTCATCTCTGATCTGGCCTTTTCTTTTGTTTTTTTGCCAAGAGGCAGTGATCTCTTCCTCCTCCGTTGATGCCATGACTGAAATGGTGAGAAATGGAGGAATTTGTCACGAGCGAATTAAACTCAGGTCCAGCGTGGCTGAGGGAGGGTCTGGAGATGTCCTGGTGGGCTGGTCTGATTTGTGGGCTGTAGAACCAGCGCTCTCCGTTTTTATTCATTTTTTAGATCTTTTTATTAACAACATATAAACACAGACCACCACTGTGGCTGAGGCTGCCAGCGCTCGCTTTTTTTCTTTTTTCCGACCTGTCAATCAATCCAGTAGGCGTGTCAGCAAATGACCAATCGGCGACCTCAATTTGTCCCGAAGGTAAACGCCCCTTGTCTGTGAAGCTGCTCTGCAGCTGCTCAGGGTGTACGCTGGAGTATCATGTCTGAACCCTCTGCGTACCGTACACGCTTACGTACGCGTGAACGGACGTACGCGGCAGTATACTGGAGCCTTGACGGGTCACTGGTTTGCAACTTTTCTTTTGAACTGGAAATTATTTGTTTATTTTTATGTCAGAAAACTGCTTGGAATGGAAAAATACCAAAGTTAAAAAATAAAAACTCAAGATTTGTACTGTAATGTGTAACGTAATTTTCTTCTTAGAACTGATATTAATTATAAAATTGGTACCGAAAAAAGTACCGTTCAGGAACCGGCATCAAAATTAAGGCATCGGTTTTGGTATCGAAATATTTGATTAATGCTTAGCCCTAGCTATTTGAGCTCAGCATCTGAAATTGACAACGTTAGTGTCATTTTTGTGCAGGCTACTGTTCAATTAGTCAATGGTATTGTTTTTGAACAAATAAAAAAAACGCATGCACAGTTCAACTTAACTGCAAAATATGATTGCAAATGTGTTATTATTGTTTATAACTGTTTAAAAAAGGTTTGGAAACTCCATCCAGGTAAATAAATCACAAAAAATGCTAAATCATACCATCGTCATCTGGACAGTTTCTTTTTGGGAGAAACGTTTTGTCTTTCATCCTAAAGACTTCATCAATCTGAGGCCTACCACCAAGAACTGTCATATAAATAGCACCTCATTGAAGTGTTTCAAGCCAGCTTGCTGTGGAATTCCCAAAAAATGATTTTACACATGCAAAAATGGGACTATCAGTCCAAAACAATCAATCATCAGTGTATAACAATCAAATGTTGTAGGCTAGATGCCAACAGCTACACGCAGAAACAGTCCGAGGACGAAGACTAAACATTTCTCCCCCCAAAAAAACTGTCCAGATGACATGGTTTAATCTTTTTGTGAGTCGTTTGCCTGGATGACTGAGCATTCAAACCTTTTTTCTGAACCATTTGGCCAGGTATCTTAAGGCTGTCTTGGGGCTTCCCAAAACCTTTTTTTTTTTTCCCAATGAGCTCTTCTAACATTGGATAATAATACAAAGACAGTTCCTTTAAGATCAAACCAGTTTTTAGACAAAACATTTACTTGACTATAAACTCACCAGAGTAGGTGACAGCATTTGTGCTGTACGTTGGGCTTTGGGAGTAGGATGGGACAACAGAGGCTGCAGCTGCAACAGGCTGGACCGTGGAGGTCACTGGGAAGATGGAGAATGTGGACGAAGCTGGACTGGGAGCAGCTGGTTTGATCACAGTGACCTGTCGAGTCTGCTGAGTTTGGGTGTATGATGTCAGGCCTTGAGTATATCCAGATTTAGGAGCTATAAATAAAAGAGAATGTATGTGAACAATCATTTTTCATAATATGGTCATTAGTTTGGTTTTATCCTCTATCTCAGTGAAAGGCAGCAGAAAGATGAGAAAGCGAAGTCAACAAAATTAGCCTTTTTTCCGTCCAGAGCTAGAGCTAAAACATTATTTAACTCAACTAAGCTGCTGCTACAGCAATTTATTCATCAATAAAATAAAAAAAATCATATTTAACATGAATCGAATTGTCCATCACAGGAAAGAAACTGGAATTGGGCTGGGGGAAGTTTTATTGTACAGAAAAAAGAAAGCAGTGTCAATAAGAGGAAGGCATAACTACTGTATTCTCACATGTAAAACAAAATTTAAACAGCAAACAATTTCCACTTATAAGGACCATGATGACGGCTTTCTTCTAAGAGTGTGTTGTATGAAAGAAGTAAAAGTGAATGAAGGTGGTTGTACCTGTTTGGTAGTAGGAGTCTGCCACACTGGGCTGTGGATGTGCAGCAGCTACAGCAGCAGGAGCAGTGGGCTGTTGGTAATACTGCTTACTGTCGTAAGCTACAGCTGTAGCCGTGGAACGAACATAAGAGTAAGAGTCCTGTAAAGCAAGCAAGTCAAACACTTTAAGAGTTTGTACATTATACTCTAAATATCTAAATGGACAATCGATAAACTCAGACAAAACTTAAAAGAAAAAATACGGGCATCTCCTCAAGCATTTCTCAAATCCCGAGGATCGACGTAGATCGATCTGGTTTTCATCACATCCTTGAATTGTTCAACATAGACCTGATGTGATCTTTAAATATTGCTAAAGATGATAAAATCAATGTATGTAATCTGTAATCAGACCAGAAATGGAGCTGCGAGTACCTGATAGTTCTGTGAGGTGACTGGAGGTGGTGGTGGGGGAACCTCTGGCTGACGCTGTGGGTAGCCATAATCAGTTGCAGCATGTGTTGTCTGATATCCTCCGTAGGCTGCTGCAGTTGCTGCGGCAACAGCAACAGGCGCAGGTCTGGCCACGGCAACAGCAGCAGTGGGCGCGTAGGCTGCTGCAACAGTGTGAGCTGCCACTGGTGCCTGGTGGACTGTGTAACTGGCCACTGTGGTGGGGTGGGTGTAGGCTACCCCAGCTGCTGGCTGCTGGCTGCAAACACAACACAGAGGAAGAAATGATCAAAAGGCCAGATTATAGTTTAGCATCTTTGTAAACTAAAATGTTAGATATTAATAAGAATGTTCAAGTCTCAATACAAGTATCAGATTACAACTTTTTTTTGTGTGATTGAGAGTGTGTGTGTGTGTGTGTGTGGGGGGGGCACTAATACCATGTTTTTCCCCACAAGTACAGTGTTTACCTCAAGTTTCTGGCCTAGGGGTCAGGGTGGGGTTCAACAAGAAAAATACTGTACTTTCCGGTCTAAAAGCCGCTACTTTTTTCACAGACTTTGAACCCTGTGGCTTACACAATGCTGCAGCTAATTTATGGATTTTTTTTGGGGGGGGGGGGGGGGGGGGAGGAGAAGAGACTGGCTAACCAGCTTCCACCGGCTATAAACATTTAGCTTCGTCACACCCAGGCGATCAATAGCTGCCCAATCTCTCTTGTGAGGTGGGTCCTATATAAAAATAATACAGGAGATTTAAAATGAAAGGCAGCAGAAAGGAGAAAAAATATTATATCTGCCCCTTTTTTCAAACAATTAGTTCAATCATAATAATTTTCAAGTAATAGAACAAAATGGATAACTCTTTCTAATTTTTCTAATTCTAATGCAAAAACACACTATGCTACTTCATATATATTTTTTAACAATTCAGCTTTGATCTTTTTCTTAAATGTACACATTGACTTGGCATTTTTCACATCACTCTCTAGACCATGCCACAATCCAATTCCTTGGACTGCTTGATGGGTGACTGTAATGCTTTCTGGTGATAATTCTTACAGCTCTTGTCTGTAAAATAAAAATAGGCTTTGTAAACGTTTTACACGCTTTCCCCTAAACATCAATGCAATAGATTAAATGTGGAACAATGATTGTGTTATACAACATGTACAGAGCTTTATCATTTAATAATTCCCTGACTTTGTATAGTACTGCAATAGATTTAGATATTTTTGTTCTTACAGAATTTATGTGATTTTTCCATGTTAGCTGTTCATCAATGATTACACCCAAACATTTCATCTCATTAACTCTAAAAATTTCAACACCCTCAATTTTAAATGGATCATCAACAGTTCTCTTTTTGTTACTAAATATCATGTATTTAGTTTTATCTAAATTTAATGATAATTTATTAAGTTTAAACCAAGTTTGTATTTTATCAAATTCTGTCTTCATCAATTCCAACATCCGTTTTACATCTTTACCCAAACAAAAAAATGTGGTGTCATCTGCAAAAAGGACACATTTGGGGAGTCCAGATACATTCACTAAGTCATTCACATATAAAATAAATAACTTTGGTCCAAGTACAGAGCCTTGAGGAACTCCACACGTGATATCGCAGAGGTCAGATCTTACACCATTTATTTGTACAAACTGTTTCCTATCTTTCAAATAGCTAGATACCCAGTGTAATGCTGGTCCTCTTATGCCATATTTTTCAAGGACAATAGTGTGGTCAATAGTATCGAATGCTTTTTTTAAATCAACAAAAATACTAACACAATATTGTTTTTGATCGACAGCAGTAGTTATTTGTTCTATTATTTCCATGAGAGCCATTGATGTAGAGTTTTTTGCTCTAAACCCATACTGACTGCTACTTAGAATGTTTTGTTTAGTAATAAATTTATCTAATCTGGTCACAAATAGTTTTTCTAGAATTTTTGAGAACTATGGTAATAAGGATATTGGTCTATAATTATTGAACACACATTTATCACCATTTTTAAAGAGAAGAACTACCTTTGCTACTTTTATATTGTCTGGAAATATTCCTTTTGAAAATGATAAATTACAAATATATGTAAACGGCTCGATAACATAACTCATTATGTCCTTTACAAACATCACATCCATGTCCACCCAGTCTTTTGATCTCTTATCTGCAAGATATTTTACTACATTCATTATTTCTTCTTTGTCAGTTCCATTAAGAAAAATACTGTTGTCACAACCTATAACTGAATGGTTCACATTATTGTCTACTTTTGGTATTTTAGCTGCAAGGCTTGATCCAACGTTCACAAAATAATGATTAAATCCATTTACAATTTCATTTTCATCATGGATTTCATTGTAATCCTTCAAAAAATATTGTGAAATACCCGTTTTGCTTTATGACTTTTTTAGAACACTATTTATTACTCGCCATGTAGCTTTCATATCACCACTACTTTTATTTAATAAATCACTATAATATTCCTTCTTGTGTTTCCTTATAATCGCTACTAATTTATTGTTATACTTCTTATATTTCTCTTCGGCCTCTTGTGTTCTCAATTTCAAGAAACATGTATACAAATAATTCTTTTTTTTTTTTTTTACAAGCATTTCTCAACCCTTTCGTCATCCATGGTTGGTCAACAACATTTCTCTTTGTACAATTATTTTGCACACAATTCTTTTCATACAGAGCTCCCAAAATATTCATAAGCTCATCATATGATCGGTTTACATCATCAACATACACGTCTTTCCAGTTTTGTTTATGTAGATCATCTTTTAATTTGTCCATTGCTTTTTTATGTGTTTATTGTTTTTTTCTTAATTGTAATTTCTTTTGTAATACTTTGATCATTTTTATAAATAGTGAAAACTGGTAAATGATCACTTGAATCACTCAATAAAATACCTCCCATCACATCCCCATTTGTTACATTTGTGAAAATATCAATTATTGTAGCACTATGAGTTGTAATTCTTCTTGGTTTTGATATTAACGGATAAAGATTTAAACTATACAATGAATTTGTAAATGTACCGATGTTATTTGAATCTGTTTTATTTCCAAGGTCAATATTAAAGTCTCCACACAAAAAAATGCTTTTATTAAAACTCTTGTCCAATAGTTGTACGATTTTATCAGTGAATATTTCTATATTTGATCGTGGAGATCGATATACACATGTAGTGAATGTAGGGACAGCTTTGCTGTAGCTTCACTACTAATTAATTATTCTTAAAGCTAGTTCAAGCACAAAAAATATTAATTATTTAAATACAACGGATTCTTTCTTTTTCGAGTTAAATTAATGCCATGTGACCGAGATTACTGTGAGGATTGTTTAATCAGTGACATGAAGACGCCATTTTATGTTTGACCCATCAGAATAAATGCGGTCATTTATTTAACAGAATCAAAACTTAACATAAAACATGTACACATTGATTTGCTGATCTGTTTCTGATTAATAAAAACTTGGCACGCTTTACTAACAAGACAACAGAACATTACTGATTGAGGCATCTAGATTACTGGCAAAATAGAAAAGTTTAAGGGAAGGAATGGAGAAGTTTAAAAGTAAGATGGATGAGGGAAGATGTATGTTTGTTGACCAGAATTAGCACGCTTCTTTCAACACCAGCTCAAATCCCCGGTCCACTTTAATGCGTGACAACTCGTGACGTCGCTTTACCTTTGCAGATGATGGATCAGCTCCAGTATAGATGTCCCTATGCATGCTACCTTTACAGCGTCTCCGGTCAGGGTGGCTGGTCATCGTCAGAAGTCGTGTGGCTTACTCCGTTCAACAGAACAAGCTTCCTTCGAAGTTGTAGGGCGTTACGCCCGGGTGAGTTCACAGCGAGGCGCTGCGACTCAAGCTGGGATGGACGGACCCTCATCTCACGGTCAAATCCATCAGCTATTGATTAAATCTGAAAGTTCCTTAGGAACTCTCAGGAAGACTCCATAGTCCCAAGAAAGACTCAGGAAAACTGAGTAAGACTCCAGGAAGACTGAAGAAGACTGAGTCCGAAGTTCCACTCAGAAGTGGAAGACTCCGGAAAAAGACTGCATAGTTCCAGGAAGTGTTGACTTTTAAAGAGTCCTCACTTCCGGTCACTTGGTACTTCCTGATTGGTTGAAACAACCAGCAGGGGGGTGTTTCAGTGATGTCAGTGGGTTATTAGGAGTCAAAAAGACAGCAGGAAAGTTTACGAATGTTTAGTACAGACAGAGGAATGTTATGGCGAAGTGAGACAAACGCAGATGCCAGCTTCTTATTTACTGTCTGCTAGGTTTAAAAACAAGAAACTTTGTTCTAATAACTTGCTTTCTGACTGTCTCTGACTTTCGATCGACATCACTACTCCTCATTCAGACAGAATATCAAAATGCATAATTACTTTGTAAATAGACATTTAACTTGATTTCTAATTTAAATGAGGTTTAAAAATCATTAATACTGTTTCACAGTTGATTTAAAATGAGTGGTTCACTTCAACATTTAGAAATTGTATGAACTAACACACTTTGATTATCAAGATATTCTAAAATAGTAATGATAATAAAAAGAAGAGTGTTCTTTCAATTGATTACTTAAGGATACAATTAAATAGTCTCTTGATGAGCTAATTTGTATTTCTGGATTCAAATCAATGAAATAACAGTTCCTGTCCCATGAAGGTTGTCTTCAGAGACAGATTGTTGTCTGAGGCCTAGTTCACTACAGTCCCCCCTTTGGAAATCATAGCCTGTCCATGGGGATGAATTCCAACATGAACTTACGCCTTTGAATGTCCTTGATCTTGATGTAATCCAGCAAGAGGAAAACAAAAGTCAAAGAAGGTAATCCTACAACAGTTTAGGTAATTCCACAATGTTGTTAGTAATTCCATAATGTTGATGGCATTTCCATTGCAGCAATGCTTTAACCCCTTGGAAACAAAGTCTGTAATCCATTGGAAAAAGTCATATAATCCACAACGATAAATCCACAACGATAAATACACAACGATTTGAGGTGTTGATTGATCAGCATGCAGAGGGTTCCCTCGATTGAACTGCAGAGGCGACCACTGGATGGAGATTGGAGACCCACGTTGGAGTTGTAGGTCCCTTCAGCAAAGGTTGCTGCTAGTGGTTCCCAGTGGGTGCCATTCTGGTTCTATGTGTTATGCATTTATGTGGTTTTAGTTGGGCTTATGAGTGGGATTTTACATAAGACCTTAACCTATATGCACCTGGTGTGTAAGCTATCATGGTTTAGATCAGCTACAGTTACCAATTAAAGGGTGGGTCATGCTGAAAAATTATATACAGGGATTTATACCTATAGAAGGGCATTCCAAACTATTTTTCCATTCCTAACTTGGTTTAAGTTAGATTTACATGGCAAAATATAGTTTGGTTCAATTGTCTGTTGTCCCTTTAGACAAATGACTTGAGGTTTGGTTTTTTGGTTTCCCCCAAAACGTTTTTGGAGTCTATGGCGAGACTCAACTGAAGGATTAGCTAGCCCCCCCGCCCCCCCGAATAGGATTGTTCGAGTAGGTTCAGCTTGAGCATCGTGAGACCAATGTAGGTCATGGTACTTAAGGTGGCATTAATCTACATTGACTCCTCAAAGATTGAAGTTTAACAAATGAACTGCATGTTGGCATAGTTAGAGTCCTTTTAGTCTCTAACTAAAGTGCACACAAAATTCATTCTTGCTGGGGGTGTTCAGAAACAATACCAAGAACCAAATAAACGATGTCTCAACATCGACAAAAGTAGTGATTAAGCAACCAGAAAAACAACGTTTCAACATTGACAAAAGTAGTGATTAGGCAACTAGAAAACGACGTTTCAGTGCGTCACTCACTCTGACTGTCAGATTCGATCACGTTATCGCGTCTGAGTTGTTATCTTAACACTTAATTAAGCTTAAACTTATTTAGTTTCTGCTTGGACAACCTTTTTTCCCACTAGGTCTGAGTTTGTGAGATCTTTGTCTCCTGTTGAGTTATTGAACACCTTGCGTAGTTTAACATGGTTTCGATGTACCCATTTAACCATTGGCTCTTTTTGGTTTTTGCTGATTTTGATCTGATAGACAACTGGAGACAGTTTGTCTGTTATCAGGTGGGGTCCAGTCCACCTGGGCATCAGTTTGCGGGCGAGAGTTCCGGTCCCGGACTCTCCTTTCCCAGTTGTGGGGGCGAACGTGTAGTACCAGACCCTATCTCCTACTTGGAGTTCCTCGTGAGAGGCCTTTTGGTCATAGTACGCCTTTAGTCCTTCAGCGGATTTTTCCAGGTTTTTCTGGGAAAAACGCAAAGGTGTTTTTAAGGTGTTCTTCCAAGTCATTCATGTATTGTTGTGTGGTGTAGGCTGTTGCCATGGCGGCATCGCCTGGTTGGTACAACAGGTGTAGAGGGAGAGTCATTTGTCGACCCGTCATCATCTAAAAGGGAGAGATGCCAGTCGATGTGTGTGGAGTGGCCCTTATGGCCATGAGGACCAGAGAGAGTTTCACGTCCCAGTCCTCGTGGTTTGCGGCTACGTATTTCTTCAAAATACTTACCACAGTTCTGTTTGCTCTCTCCACTTGGCCAGAGGCCTGTGGGTGGTAGCCAACATGGAAGTTGACTTTGATGCCTAGCATCTTCCACAGTTCTTTCATCACTTAAGCTGTGAAGTGTGTACCTTGGTCTGAGTTCACCCTGAGGGGAAGTCCAAACCTTGAAAATACATGATTCATTAGTAACATAGCAGTTGTTTGTGCTGTGTCGTTAGGAGATGGTAGGCATTCTACACATTTGGTAAATGCGCAAGTTACCGTGAGAAAATATTTGTTTCCTCTAGTGCTCGTAATAAGTGGTTCAACCCAGTCGATCTGGAGGTCGGACCATGGGAATGCAATGCCTCTACTTTGCAGTGGTGCTCTGTGGAGTGGTCTGGATGGCTGAAACTGGCCACAAACAAGGCACACTTTTATGTAGTTTTTGACATCCTTTTTCATTCCAGGCCAATAAGCAACTTGTTTTAATGTTTTCAGCGTGGCGTTATCTCCCTTGTGTCCTGCGGACGGGAGGTCATGCGCATGAACTAACATCAACCCCCTGTGGTCATGGGGGACCACGAACACGGGTGAGGACGTCAATCCATGAGCAAAAGGATGCCCTTGATTAGTTTTAGCTGTTTACGCAGCTGAAAGAGGACTTAAGGTCTGGATTGGAATCCAGGTCGGCTTCGGACGGAGTGTTTTTCTCTGGGTCAGTCAAGTACAGCATCTTCGAGTTTATCGCAGGATCCGACTTCTGAAGTTGGATGATGTCTGGGTCAGTCATCACGGGTTGTACAGAGACTGTGTTGTCAGCCGGCTTGGCTGCAGCCTGTGCACATGTGACTGCCATTACCTCGGCTGTAGGTTGTACTGACAGAGTTGCGAACAGCCAGGAGGGGTCAAAGGACCACAGAGGGCCGTCCGCAGCTCCGTCCTTGGCTAGGAAGTCTGCAAGGTCATTATACCGCTTGTCATCGTCTAGGACTCTAGAATATCCTGGAACCTTTTTCCAGTAGACCTGTAGGTCATGTGATGTCACAAAGTGATCACATGCCATGACAAGCTCTTTGTGTTTGACCACCTTCTTGTTGCTTGTGAGAAGGCCGTTCTGTTTCCACAGAGCGAGATGATACAAGAAACTAAGTCGAGCATAATTAGAGTCCGTGCAGATGGCAAGCGTTTGGATGGAGCATTCTACTGCCATCTGGAGAGCTATTAGGATTCCTGCTATCTCAGCGTACTGAGAAGTCTGAGAGTCTAATTTATAGCTAAAAGTGACCTCTTGTTGGTCTTGGAGGAGGATCCCTCCAACACCTGATTTGCAGGTTTGTTCGTGGTGGAATGAGCACCCATCCACGTACAATGTTGTCATATCTTTGCAGATATTGTCATCAAAGTAGTGGTGATTTGGGTCATCACTTACTGAGGGTTTTTCCGCAGCAGGCCGATGGGTGGCAGGTACATCTTGTGTACACTCCTGGCAGAGTGCCAGGTCGGTGCCCAAATGTGAGTTCCTGTTTTGTCCGTAACGGATGTCTAGGTCAAAACTTTGAAGCGCCATGAGCCACGTGGCTACCCGTGAGTATGTCACCACACAATCCCTGATGTGTTGGCTATTCAGGACAGTTACTGGCTGGTGTTGTGTTTCAACAATGATTTTTTGTCCACTGATGTAACTAGAGAAGTGCTTAACTGCCCACACAGTGGTCAGAAGAGCTTTCTCACAGTCTGAGAACTTTAATTCGGGGCCTGCCATTGTCTTACTGGAGAAGGTCACCACATTCTTGTCTTTGTTGTGCATCTGGTACAGACCGGCACTCATGCAGTGAGCTGAGAAGTCCACTTTCAGGTGAAACTCTTTGTTGTAGTCTGGATAGACTAGACATGGGGCTGACTTGAGTCTGTCCCTGAGAGCGTTCATTGCCTGCTGTTGGTTATCAGTCCAGACAAATGGGACGTCTTTCTTTAAGAGTTTAGTCAGTGGTTTCGCAAGGTCTGCATAGTTCTCTATGAATTGGCGAGAGTAGTTACACATGCCCAGAAAACTTTGTAGTTCTCTGAGATTGGTGGGGACTTTGAGATTGTCTAGGCCTTGGGTGCGAGTCAATTGTGGTTGTACTCCATCTAGACCTACTAGTAGGCCAACGTAGTCCACCTTGGTCCTGCACCACTGGCATTTCGACAGTGAGATTTTAGCACCAGCAGTAGTCAGTTGATTCAGAACGTGGTCGATCTCAGCCAAGTGTAAGTTTAGTGTTGGCTGCCTCAAAAGGACATCGTCCACGTAGATCAGTGTCTCACGGTCGTGGGCGTCAGGACATGCTTTGTTCAAAAAGATGTTGAACTCAGCTGGTGAGTTAGCGTAGCCAAAGGGACACATGGTGAAGGTGTATTGTCGGTTACCAAAAGTGAAAGCTAGTTTGTGTTGGTCCTCGGTGCGCACAGGAATGGTCCAAAAACCAGCGGCAACGTCGAGGGTGGAAAAGTACTTACCATCGGTGACTTTGGGCAGTTCCTGTTGGATCTGGGTCAATGGCCACCTAGATAAAGGAACTTGTTTGTTTAGCTTTCTGTAGTCTATGGTAAGTCTCCACTTACCATTTGGTTTCAAAACTGGCCATAAAGGCGCAGAGTAGGTGCTATTACAATGTCTGATTATGCCTTTATCTAAAACGTCATCAATGATTTCCTTGACAGGTTGATGCGCTGCCAGGGGAATCTTGCATTGTCTGAATAATGTAGGCGGTGAGTTTGGCGGAGTTGGGATGCTCACTGTGTGGAGCGAGGTCAACCCACAATCCATTGAGTCAGTCGAGAATGACTTCTCATATTTCATGAGAACTTGGCGGAGTTTATGCCTTTCTTCATCAGTCGTCAGGGCGTCGGCTTGGGCGACCACCTGTTCAATCTGTGAAGAGATTGCTAAGGGTTCTTGATGTTTGGGGAGCTCCAGTGAGTCCCTTTCTGTGTCGTCAGACCTGTCTATAGGTAAGACACTTTAGGTTTGAGGTCATTTATCGACATCATTGGTTGAGAAGAGAGCTATGGCCTGTGTTAGTTTTGTGAACCAAACTGGACCAGTCTCTTGACTCGTGTTGTGAACTAGGCCTCCGACCACAACCTGTCTCTGAAGACCTTCATGGGACAGGAACTGTTATTTCATTGATTTGAATCCAGAAATACAAATTAGCTCATCAAGAGACTGTTTAATTGTATCCAGAATTAATCAATTGAAAGAACACTCTTCTTTTTATTATCATTACTATTTTAGAATATCTTGATAATCAAAGTGTGTTAGTTCATACCATTTCTAAATGTTGAAGTGAACCACTCATTTTAAATCAACTGTGAAACAGTATTAATGATTTTTAAACCTCATTTAAATTAGAAATCAAGCTAAATGTCTATTTACAAAGTAATTATGCATTTTGATCTTCTGTCTGAATAAGAAGTCAGTGATGTCGGTTGAAAGTCAGAGACAGTCAGAAAACGAGTTATTAGAACAAAGTGTCTTGTTTTTAAACCTAGCAGACGGTAAATAACTTCAACTGGCATCTGCGTTTGTCTCACTTCGCCATAACATTTCTCTGTCTGTACTAATTGTTCCTAAACATTCCTGCAGCCTCTCTTGACTTTTAATAACCTTCTGACATCACTAGAGCCACCCCCTGTTGGTTGTTTCAACCAATCAGGAAGTACTAAGTGACCGGAAGTGAGGACTCTTTAAAAGTCAACACTTCCTGGAACTAGTCAGTCTGTGACTGGAGTCTTCTTCAGTCTTTCATAGAGTCTTCCACTTCTGAGTGGAATCACTGACTATGGAGTCTACCTGAGAGTTCCTAAGGAACTTTCTGATTCAATCAATAGCTGATGGATTTGACCGTGAGATGAGGGTCCGTCCATCTCAGCGGAGTCACAGCGCCTCGCTGTTAACTCACGCGGGCGTAACGCCTACAACTTCGAAGGGAGCTTGTTCTGTTGAACGGAGTAAACCACACGATTCTGACAATGACCAGCCGCTTTAACCTGACACGCTGGAAAGGTAGCGTGCATAGGGACATCTATACCAGAGCTGATCCTCATTTGCAAAGGTAAAGAGACGTCACGAGTGTCGCACACTAAGTGTCGCAAACTAAGTGTCGTACACTAAGTGTACCGGAGGTTTGAGCTGGTGTTGGAAGAAGCGTGCGAATTCTGGTCAACAACATACATCTTCCTCTATCCATCTATCTTTAAACTTCTCCATTCCTTCCTTTAAACTTTTTATTTTGCCAGTAATCTAGATGCCTTCAGAAATGTTCTTTTGTCTTGTTAGTAAAGCGTGCCAAGTTTTTATTAATCAGAACAGATCAGCATATCAATGTGTACATGTTTTGATGTTAAAATATGATTCTGGTAAATAAATGACCGCATTTATTCTGATGGGTCAAAGAAAAATTTTGTCTCATGTCAATGAATAAACAATCCTTAAAAGTTGTCTCGGTCACATGGCATTATTTAACTCCAAAAAGAAAGAATCCGTTGTAATTAAATAATTAATTATTTTTGTGCTTGAACTAGCTTTAAGAATATTTAATTAGTAGTGAAGAGACAGATAAGCTTTCGCCCACTTTCACTACACTCGATACCAGGTTGTCTGAGAGTCCTCCCAGAAATGGAATGCCAAGTTCAAAATCATGAAAATCTGTGGAGATCAACCATCCTAGCCTTGTGTTTCTTGGGATAAGTACCTCCTTCGTGCCTGTGTTGCACACAGCAACAGATGTGGTTCTGGAGTCGAGGCTCACTTGGCTTGCAGCCTCAATGGTCAGTCCTAGTTTGAAAAACGTAGGAGATGGTTGAAAGTACGCCTGTTTAAGGCTAATAGCTTGTCCCACCACGATGTGGACTCGTACCATTAGGTTTGTTACCTGAGGTGGTACTGAGGTGTTTTAGTTGCTAGCAACCTGGCAGACCTATGGAATGGTCTGTCCAGCTGTAAGGTTTGCTGTGTCTAGCACAGGAGGATCCTTTTTGGCTGGTTTTAGTGACCACAGCACATTGTGGCTGGTGTCCATTCGGACACCTAATCTTACCAAGATGTCAGAGCCTATGTAGGTTGCATGTGGTAAGTCTGGGACCACGAGGAATGGGTGGACCAGTTCCCGTTGGTTCCAGATCAGTTTCAGGTTAATGTCTCCTTCTGCAGTCATCACTCGTGAACTGTTGAGATACAATGGAAAGCGGAATGTTTTCTTGATCAGAACTGGACCCAAATGTTTCTTAACCAATGTTTCATAGAAAGCTTTGTTAATAGCTGATTTATCTGTCCACAGCGACAGTACAGCATCTTCGGTGTGGGATCCTTGGATCTCTACACCTTTAACTACCAAGGGTAGGTAGTATCCGGTGGGCTCTGACTGTCTCAGCTCGCAGAGGAGGCTTTCTTGTTCAGTCAGAGTTGGGTCCACCGGTTGGGTCTCTTCGGTTTCACATGCTTTTGAAGGCTTACTTACCGGGACTTTGTTCTCTGCTGAGAGGTCCTCGGTGCCTTCTGCGGTGCTTGCTGTTGGGCAGTCTGTGACTGTCTCAGGAGGCATGAGTACTGGCAGGGGTTTGCTCACTCTGGCCCACATTGTCTGTTCACCATAATCTATAATCGCCTCAAAGAGATTTATAAAATCCTGGCCGATCAAAAATGGGAATGAGTCAACCGTTGACACATGTACCGGGTGGTATAGTGTCATCTCGCCAACCTGCATGTGAACCATAGCTATAGCTATTAGGGTCGTCCTCGTCTCTGCGAGGCCCTGCAGTTCTATAGCACGTTCCATGAGAGGTATTTCCTTGTGAACACCGTTAGCGGCGGTCCTGAGCTCCTCGAACAGTTTGGCTGACATAATAGTTATGTTGGCTCCAACATCCAGTAGGGCTTCCTGTGTGAGGACCCCTTCAAGTGTGATCGACAGGTAAGCTTTTTTAGCGACCCCCTTTCTGATCAGGTTACACAGGAACCTTGTAGGTTTTGGCCAACGTTTCTTCTTACGTTTACCTTTGCCTGTGTAATCCTGTTTTTTCCGAACCGTTGGTGCAGTCGCTGCTACTCCTGAGAGTTCGGTGTTTGACGGGCCTCCGTCATTGATGTATGAGATCACCTGCTCACTGTGTGTTGAGGGGCTCTCATTGTTTGTAACAAGGTCCTGGTGGCTGTCCGTGACAGCGGCAACGTTGTTGTTTGTGTCACCCTGATTTATCTGAACGGTTAGCACAGCTGTTGCCGTTTCTGAGGTTTCAGTTTATGATGGGTCACCGTCGGTGACGTGTGATTGTACCCCCCCCCCCCTTTTTCTGGTGAGGGCCTGTCAGAGTTTACAACAACAACGTCATGGTGACTGTCTGTGACAGCAGTAACGGTGTTGTCTGTGTGCTCTGACTTATCAGCAATGATATTGCCACACAACGCGTCAGGTTGTTTGTCCGTGGCA